TGCTTTGACCATGACATTTCTCAGCATAATCAAACTGCCATAAATCAAGAAGGCTTTTGATGTGCCCTGGGATCAATCAGAGTTTTCCCTGCTATCTAATGTTGCACATCGTCCCAGTGACCAAGGAGGGCTCTTGCAGATTGCCAGGAGTAGCCCTCATTAATCCAAATCGTGCTTTCCAGGTTGACATAAATCAGTGGGATTTTTAAAAAATTATTTACGTGACAAACTCGGTTCTTCTGCTCCATAACTCTGTGTAAGTCTGCATAAACAGTGAAATAGTTTTCCCCTGCATCTGTGCAGTTCAGTGGAAACCCAAGAAAAAAGTCACCAGAAGAAGTTGGACGCTTTGCGCTGCAGGAGAGGAGGAGCATTGCAAAATGTGAAGGGCTTTAACTGCAACCAGCGTTTCCAGTTACATGTTTTTCTTAGTTTATGTTGTAGAGGAACCCAGGTTTCATCTTTTTCAAAGGATTTAGGGAGATTTTTCAGCCATTGCTTGTAGATGTGTGGGAGTTATGTGTTTGCGTACTTTTACAGCTTAATACGGATAAGGACTAACAGAACGTAATCTTTTAATTTAGCTCTCTGTTATCTACTGACTTGTGAAATATTTTTAGGTAACTCAGCCACAAATGATTATGTAGATAAGCAGAGAGAAATTGTCTTTCTTTTTTTTGGCTTAAAAAAAAAAAGCTTCTTGTTGCCCTAAAGTTGCAAGATTTTGTAAAAACTACCTCACTTTTTTTCATTACCAACATCCCAGACGAATTCAGAATATGCCGTCCTTCCGTGTGCCCTGCCATGTTCTACTCTGTCTCTCTGTAGCAGGACTAAGAGCCAGGTCACAAATACCAAAAGTTGAAGCGGCTTTGGTACTGCAGCATTTGCATTTCATCAGAATCCTTAAAACCAGAAAAGGCAAGCAGTTATTCCTATTGAAAATGGGTATTTATGTCTTATGTCTTCATTTCTGGTTTTAAAATAAAAATAAATACATTTTAAAATGAAAAAGCGTAATTTTGAGAGGTTCCCTGACTTAAGCAAGGTCCAACACAAACTGATTTTTGCTCTGCAAGTGTAGTTTACTTGAAGCCCATATTGCTACTAACTGCAGGTTATCTGTTACTGATGGGAACGGATAACGACAGGACATTAATACCCAGTAAGTGCTGAGATCACTGATGGGTTCCTTGAAATATGTAAATATTTGCTAATAATATTTATGATTTCTGTTCCTAGCATCCAAATGGGTTTGACATGGGTGGGTAAACACCGCCATTTGCAAAAGAGGGGTAACAAAACAGGGTCAGTGAAAGCCAAAATGCACTGCCAGTCGGAGAGCCCATTAGGGCTACGCTGGCCCACGCTGGCTCTGCGAAACAGGCCGAGCTGTGGGGCACTGCTCCAGAGTGTCTGGACTGTTCTGTGGTCCTGTGGACTGCTGGCGCACTGGAGGTAGACGTGTTTGTGTGCTCTCATCATCTAGAGCTGCTGTTCAGAGGTTATTTTAAATGACAGTTTGTTCTTAATATAATTTTTAAAGCTATTAAATTTGGATGCATAGTTTATTCTCTCTAAGGTCTAAGCTTCTAGTGGCATTGGGAAAGAGCCAGTGCTTTTTATCTTCATTTGTGTTTGCCAACAGAAACCACTTCCAGAGAAGACTTGGTTGAGTTCTTGCAGGTCAAGCAAGGCTGCTGCCGCCCGTGAGCCGTCTGAGGGTGGTCATGAGCAAACGCTGTGCCCAAAGCAGTGGCACTGCCGCCATCCCTCTGCTGGCCGCTCCTCTGCCAGAGGTCTTCTGCATTGGGAGCTGTCATCTTTGTAAAAGTCCTAAATGCTGTAAGAGGATACAGCCTCAGAAAGCTTGCAGCTTGAACATCTGCAGCAATTCATGCTGCTTTGGTCCTTATCAAATTCTCTGGAGCAGTGGAGGTGGGAAGAGTTTTTTTTCCAAGTGGCAGGTGAATTTTGACCCTGAAACAAAGTGGGAATGAGCGGAAAACTAACTTCAGAAAATGGTAACTTCATTTCCATTGTTGTCATTCAGTGCATCTATGCCTTGTGTGAGAGCAGTTTCTTGCATATGCCATAGGGAGAGGTTTTCTTTTCCCTGGCAGCTGCTGTACATCTCCGTGGATTTCTGCTACAGTGAGGACAGCAGTCTTGCCTTGGATAGAAGTAGGTTATTTCAGCTCAGTAGTCAGATATTTTTGAGTGAGCTCATATCCTGCGTGTGAAATTTTAATTTAATGCTGCTATGGAAAAAACAGCTTTAACCAGGAGGAGCTTACATCTTCGTCATAGAGCTCATTTTTACTGTGCTTTTTCGTGAACTTCAGTATAACATGGAAGATGGATTTGATTTATTAGCTTCTCTGGTGCTTTTACTTGATTTAAGGAGGTGATTTTTTAAAAATTGACCTGGAAATAGTCCTCATCCATGAGCTCTGTGCCATTACATGGACCCTGTGTACCCAAGCAGCGGTGACAACTGTCGGCATTTCAAAATGCAGCTTAATGTTATTTCAAAATATATGTATACGCTTGCATATGTAAGTAAAACATGAACAAAATATAACTCAGCTTTAAAATTCTTTCTGGTAAATTGCAGTGAATCAGGTACTAGTTAAAAATAACAAATAAATAAAAGGAGGAAATACAACTAGTGCAAAGAAAATTTTCTTATAAAGGAACAAGTTTAGGGAAAGGAGAAAAACAAACTCATGTGATATCTGAGGGTGACTGACCTCCTTATCTTATAGTAAGGTTTTAGTGATACAATCTATCGTATCTCTTCAAAATTACAGATTAATAGTTCATATTTCCATCATTCCACCAACAAAGTAAATTCCTCCTCTGTTAACTTCCCTGTGACCAGTTTGCTTGTGTGCCTGGGTTTGTTATGACATGAATGTTTTGAGTAAAGAACAGTATAATCTCAAAATCTTCTTATTGTCTGCATAGTCTTAACAATTTGCTAGTAAAACAAGGAAACATTATTTTATGGAGTGAAGCAGGGAAGAACCCCTACGCTGCCGACTGCTTAAGGGTGAAGCGATAGAAACAGCCCAGTTACAGTCTTTCCTCAGCACTGGAGGTTCAATACTGGGCAAGATGGACCTTGGATCTGAACTAGAGGTTGTCCTTTTGAATCTGGTTTTGTCTTTCTATCATCCTGTGACTGGATGATAGTAGCTGGATAACACGCTCATCAAGAGTTCTCTTCGCTATTAAAATCTGTTGTGCAGCAGTGAAGGAGTCCCAAAATGTGAGTTATTAAAGTAGTTTGGGTCTGCAAGGTTAAGCATACAAGATCATTTATGAGACTTAACACATGCAAATAGCATTTACAGCCATGTGGTGGAGCATATTGGATACATCAAACCATCATTCGGAGCTTGGGGTGTTTTTTCCCCCATTACTTGTGCTGCAAAGTGTTGGCAGCCTGGCCTGCAAATGTGGAGGTGCAGACTGTACTTGCTACAGGCTGGGTGCATTATAAAGAGCCTTTCTTAGCAGAGAAAAAATGCCACGTCTTCAGTTAAAGGTAAAGGTATAGACCTTGTATTTTGGGTGCCTGTCAGCAACCCACTACATTATCTCACTTTTTGACAGTAAAGAGCAGCTGGCTCAGCTCCAGTTTACACTGAGTGAAGCAAGAGTTGCACAGCTTGAATGTTTATGTTGACTTTAATACTGCACTATATAATTGGACAAAAATAATGCTTTAGACTTAACACACTATCACAAAAACAGGGTTCAAATATACCCAAGTTCTTATGTCTTAGGAAAAAGATATACTGCCGCCACATAGTCTCTTTAATGTGGTGTCTGAAAGGAGATGATGATTATTTCATTAGCTTACTCTGCTTAAAGCAGAAGGACTTAAATGAAATATGCAGTGCTGGATTAGAATATTTGATTTGTAACCAGTTTGGGCTGCAGTATGACAAATCACGAATGCCTGCATCGCTACTGGAAGAAGCAATATTAAACACCTCCATATCATCACCACCTTTATGTCAGAACACACATTTGTGTAGATATGCAATTAACTGACTTGGGCAACAGATACAGCTGAAAATAAATCCATTTTAAAACCCCAAAAGTTAACAACAACAAAACATAAACAAAAACAAAACCAAACAGCTCGGCCAACGAGTAGTTTCTCCTACGACTTCTCCCATCTGACCGTACAAGTATCTGCTGGCATGAGTCTCAAGAGGTCATATAGGGAGAAAGACTGAATGGCTGGCAGGTGCGACTGCTTTATCTTTTAATGCAAATACTACCTTGTGTCAATTTAAGGGTGTAGTTCAGCTGTTTGACTTGCGTGCTAGTGTACAGTATCACTGTAAAGTAGTAATATCAGTTAATATAATTCTGAACAAATGCTACCTATCTAGTGTAGCAGAAGTATTTTTAGTTCCACAAATTGCATTTAGAAAATGCTGGTGTCTGAACGTACATCTTACTCATCTTACCAGCGTGTGAGGTGAAACTGATAAATGACTCTCAAACTGGTTGGAATGTTAAAAAACCCAAACCAACCCAAAAAACCAAAACCTGTCAATGCATTGTCAGATATTTGTGGTATTTGATGTCCTGATCAGGAGAATAAAGTAATTAATTTAATTTTGAGGTGTTTATCCAAGTTGGGTTTTTTTTGCCCTGGAACAGATACAGTTACTCAATTATATGTCACTACTGAAGTTTATAGGTCAGAGGATGGACAGTTGACTTTCTATTGCCAGAAGATGGCAATGGTGACCCTTGCCTCAGTCCATATTCTCCCACACATCCTCCTGCCCCTCTCAACTGTTCTCTCCTGTTCCTTAAGCATGCTCCTTTCTGCCAGCTTACTTGTGGAGCTGACAGCGTTGGCTAAAGCCAAGGCTTTGATTCAGACTGGAACTGAGATCAAGAGACACCCCGTTTGCTTCCAACAAGTCTGCTGGCAGACAAGATACTGGAGGGGGGAGCGAGAGAAAGAGCAGACTGTTCCTTAAAAACAAGCAGGCAAGAAATAGCAAGAGCAGAATAGCACAGCATGCTCCTCGAAAAAGGAATGCCCAGATGTGGTATAGCTGGAGTGCTCAGACCTGAAATCAGCCGTACTGGTTAACGATGCGGTGCGCACACTGCTGGTTTGCAGTGCGGGGAAGTCTCAGACAGATGGATTGTACTGCATAAAGAAAATGGGGATGTCTGAAACCAGCCATAAAAAATCAGCATAAAAGGTAGGTTAATGATTCGTTGCTAGGTGATCTAATGATTTTATCCCTCTTCTATTGCTTCGTCTTTCTCTTATGGTGGTATTTATTTTCATATATATTGTGTACATTGTGAGAGATATACTGAGTCAGTGTGTGTTCTTTGGCAAGATACATTTTCCTTGCATTTGGTCTCTTGCTCTTTTATTTTCCCTTCAGTACTTCTTGTTTCTCTGACCTCATTATTATTTTTGAGCTGCTTTTCTGATTTGACATTGAAAACAGTTATTCCAACAAAAGCAGCTCAGCATGTTATTTAGACCTTACAAAGCATTGGATGGGGATGCTCAGGACTTAATTTTGCAGCCTAAAATCAACAGTTCTGAGTTCCTGGAATAAATTGGAAGCTTTTGTTAAATAAAACTTACTTCTAAGGAGAGAGATGCAGAGCCTCCTGACAGAGGTGGAATGTTCTACTTTCTCTCTGTAGCCCAGTTACAGGTACAAAATTTGGAGCAGAATATGGAGGCCAAGCCCATGAGCTATATAAGGCATCAAAGCACGGGGAGGACATGACCTGTTTTCTCTTGTGGCAGTATCAGAGTTCAGTTCAGCACAAACCAGGACATAACCAGACAGGAGGAAGCAAAGTTAGATTAACAAGTTACCCTGTAGTAGGGGCTTTTGAGCTGCTTGCTTTCTTTCACAGGTCCCTAGAAGTATTTTCAGCAGAAATAGGGATTCTTTAAAACAAAAACGTATACATGTTAACTTGCTCTTCTTAGTTTCTTTTGCCTCCCACTGGAGTAGCTGAACCATAGGTAGGAAACATGCTCTTATGTATACTCTGAATCTCTTTTGGCATCTTATGCATGTTAGGCTAAAATGTGGACTAAAATATGTGTCTCAGCTGAGCAAGTATGATGGCTTTCACCAGGACAAAATCAGATCCTAGTTTAGGTTTGATTTGTCTGTGTGAATTTCTCCTTTCTGATCAGTCTAGATCATAGAATCATAGAATGGTTTGGATTTGAAGGGACCTTAAAAGCTCATCCAGTCCAACCCCCCTGTCACAGGCAGGGACACCTCCCACCAGACCAGGTTGCTCAAAGCCTTGTCCAACCTGGCCCTGAGCACTTCCAGGGAGGGGGCATCCACAACTTCCCTGGGCAATCTGTGCCAGTGTCTCACCACCCTCACAGTAAAGAATTTCTTCCCAATATCTAGTCTAAATCTACCCTCTTCCAGTTTAAAACCATTCCCTCTTGTTCTATCACTACCTGCCCTTGTAAAAAGTCTCTCTCCAGATTTCCTATTGGACCCCTTCAGGAACTGGAAGGCTGCAGTAAGGTCTCCCCAGAGCCGTCTCTTCTCCAGGCTGAACAGCCCCAACTCTCTCAGTCCGTCCTCGTAGGGGAGGTGCTCCAGCCCCTGATCATCTTTGTGGCTTCCTCTGGACCTGCTCAAACAGCTCTATGCCCTTCTTATACTGGGAGCCCCAGAACTGGATGCAGTACTCCAGGTGGGGTCTCACAAGAGCAGAGTCTTGTTGCTGTAGGGGCATACAGTCTCTCATTTCCACCTGTGCCTCAGTCTCTGGAATCACTGATGCTGTATAGCATGCCCAAGAAACATAAGCTCATACGACTCAGGAAAATGGTAGCTCATTCTCTGTAATTCACAAACACCCCTGAAAGGGGTGGAAGCCAAAAGTAGCCTTGCAGCAGAGCTGTTTTTTCTTCTAGGCAAAAGCATCTCACCAAAAAATGGAGAGGGGAAGAGAGTCCTCTATCACAATTCATCGATTTTTGAGATCTGGATTTTCTGTACTTACCTCTACATCATTCCCAGTCCTGTGCCGAGAAGGAGGTACAGATTTTTAGATCCCCAAAAGATGAGCACATTGTTAACAAATGTCCTCTTTTGTAAAAAAATAAATCAGTGCAAGATGAAAATAAATAATAAAAGAATGGCTGATTTGTTTGAAAATTTTCCAGACGAACAGTAGGGGTTATATGAGAGTCAGCCTGGGCCCAACAGAGCAGGCATTGAACCAGACCTAATAAGAACAACTGGACCCAATACCCGTATTATGTTCAGTACCAGAGGCTTTTTTGTAGTACAAGGACTTTAATGTTGTAATCTTAAATGGCTAGAGGTAACAAGCCAGTTTGAAAGGAAAGAGGAAAAAAATGAAGTCCAAAGTAATTAGAAAAATCTCTTTTGTGGATTTTAGGTATTGCCAGGCACATTTGTGTCTTTTTACAGATGAATGGGCTTTTCTGTCACTGTAAGAATGAATTGTAAAGTAACGGACTTGAACTAATTATGTCCTGTAAACCTATAATAATAACAATAAAAGATTTTTGAAGTTCAGACATGCGTGGAGTTGGTTCAACAGACCGAGTGGATCAGCGGTTGAGTGACAGTTTGCCGCTCAGGGTTAGCGGGATTCAGGAGCATTTTAGGAAAAACAGTTGGATAAGGCAACTCCTGGGAAGAAATAACAGATGAGCAAGTCACTGCTGGTCACTGATTCAAGCAAGGTTCCCACCATCTGCATTTCTCAACTGCTGTCAGTTACCAGCAGGTGCTGGAAGGTGTCTGTCCTGACTCAGATGGAGGTATTTGCCCTGACACAGATGGAGAACAGTGTAGGTTGAGAAGTCTGGTTACAGGCTCTTCCTACCTTGTGGCATTTGGAGAATGAGCTCGTGGTCTTGTGTCCTCTCATGATGCTTTTTTTCTTTTGCTTCTTAAACTCTGCCATTTTCAGGGCAGGGAAGGGAGATTTAATACGTGGTTACATTTATAGAGGTACCTCTTCTAACCTGAACAGAGGGAAGCTGAGCTGTGATCGTATCCCCAGACCAAAGACCCCATCCTTCTTCAGTGGTCTCAGCTGAAAAATACAATAGTTTTATTCTTTAGAAAAACTTAAGCTCCTTTTATAGTTCTGCTAGATTTTTGCCAGACCCTCACTTCGTTGAAGCAAGCCCCTTGTCTTCTCCCCAGCATCCCCAAATTGATCTCACAAAATTTCCCGGTGGTCAGTCAGCAAATGCTGAATGAATTCAAACTGCATACGAGCAGCAAATGCAAAACTCACCGGTAAGCGTCCACAGGCTCTGTAACAAAGCCATTAGAGTTCACGGAGCTTGTCTCCAGGATGTGAATTATACATCCCAGAGCGTTGTTCTTTCATCCAGCATGCCAGGTACCTCCTGGAAGCTCTGTGTGTGCAGCTGGATAACGTTGCATCCCAGAACTTGTTTTTTCCCCTCAAAAAAAAAAAAGGAAAAGAAAAAAAGAGGTTTAAAGAACAAAACCAATTACAACCTCTGAATTGATTGGTTTTTAGAAGAGTGTTAGTTGTATTTAATCTTAATCCCAAATTTTATCATAATTCGTAATATACAAGAAAGTCACAGACATGGTTTTCTCATACCTTATCTGCTAATGCTTTTCCTGCTCTGTAGGTGGTATCTGTCTTGTTTTCTGCCTCGGGTTCCATATTTGTTAGCAGGGCTGCAGTGTCCCAGGATTTCATCCTTGCACTGTCCCTTGCACTGTGCCAGCGAAGCTGTCTGCGTGTCAGTGTGGGAAACTGGCTGAAAACCAATTTGCAACCTCCTGCCAGCCTGGTTCATGGTGTGGTGATGCAGCACAAGGGCCGAAAGGGGTTGTCACAGGCAGGAGGAGGGCTTGGGCTGCTGAAGCTGGTTTTAACAGGGCTTCCAAGTTGTTTCATCTTGGAAATACATGAGGTTATAGTTGGAGGAGTTCAGATGCTCACAGAATACCCCAAAGAGTAGTTGCACTGACCTGAAGGGGAGCGATGGGTGACCTGTGCCACAGAGCAAGGACATTTTAAATCACTGATAACATAATGTCAAACTATGCTGTTTAGTATTGCACCATGACTCTCATTCCTTCATGTTTGGCTTTTTTTCCTCTGAAGATGTGAATTATTTACATACCAAATACATTTGCATGCAAATATTGTTATATTAAATATGTTATTGAATGCAGATATTTGCATGTTAAAATGTATTTTCATAATACACTATATCTTCCTACAAATCTGGCTTCTCTTTGTTCCTCAATCCTGAGAAAATCTCCCTCTTCAGTACCCATTTAAGGAATGGTGTTCCTGGGCGTGCTTCTGAGCCTGATCCTCTATGAAAATTCAGGTGTCTGCTTTTCTGCTTTTGATCCAGTTCTGATTGTGTTTACAAATGCTTATCAGGTTTTTAAATGGAGTTTTAGGCATAGCTTTCTACCAAGACATTAAAGCTTTAAAGTTTTTCTTTTTTTTCCCCCCTAATATAATGAGCTTCAGTGAGAATCTTTGCATACAGTTGCACACAAGAAGAGAAAAGCTAAAACTCGGCTACTTGCCATGGATGCATCCTCAGTTCTGTGCAACCCAGCATACAACCTTTTCTGCAGTTCCCTCGGTGTCTCCAAGTGCCTGTTGAAAGCGCAGGCACAGGTCAGTGCTCTGCAGAGATCCCCTGGCATTCTTTGAGCGTCCCAGCGTCTCTTCTTTAAGCTGGGGTTATGGGATGCTTCGGAAATGCTGTAATTGAGGAATGTCTTCACTCCAGTTGGGAGATGAGCTCTGAGCGGATGTTGGAGGCCCTGTCGTCGGGGTGTGTTTGGCTGAACGTGTCAGGAAGGAGAGCTCTATAAAAAGCATGGGGGGTGATGAATGCAATGTAAAATGATATAGGGAAGCTGGTCGTAAAAAAGTATTATGAGCATTTTGACTGTCATAATTCTTAGTTGTCTGCTGTTGGGTTTTTATTTGAACTTGAATAGAGATGGTCATGCAGTATCAGAGAACTCATTAATATTTTTATATACTTTTCTAGAAGTTTCCCTTAGTTTTCTGATTATGATAATTATTCACTTGCTGTTCTTTCATTTTAGATACTGTTCTGCAGAGATAAAAAAAGAACGTTATTTGTTTCTGGACTTGGAATTTATATTCAATGCCTTCCTGTTAACTGTTAATCATTCTTGCCCCTTTTTTATTTGTTTCAGGTGAAGCCTGCCATCTGAGTGTTGAAGTATGAGTACGGATGCCAGCCAGGTGGTGATCACTACTCCTCCCCCGGCCACGATGCCTCACAAAGAGCGGTACTTTGATCGCATCAATGAGAACGACCCAGAGTATATCCGGGAGAGGAATATGTCTCCTGACCTGAGACAGGACTTCAATATGATGGAGCAAAGGAAGAGAGTCACTCAGATACTGCAGAGCCCTGTGAGTAGGGTTTAGGGGAGATGAGAACAAAATAATTCATTTATTTATTTTATTTGTTTTCTGATTAACTTTTTGAGTCTTAAAAAAAGCAATTTATGTCCCAACTAGCTAGGCTAGCTCTGGACTGTCTTCTCAGAAGCGTCACTAAACAGATCATCCAGCATTTTGTTTGCATAGTTTTTTGTCTGTGAACAAGCAGCCTTTATTGTGTTGTTTTTTCTGCTGATGCTTTTATGGTCTTATGCTTCATTGCAGTATTACAAAAAGATCTGGCTGGCTGCAGGGAACTTAATTAAAACTTAGGGGCAGGGAAGAGAGTGAAGGAGTCACTAGTCAAATAGGAACAAATTAGAGCGTTACATGGTGCTCTGCTTTCTGGGTTTGAATATTAACCTATCATTTGCATCAGGAATGCTTTAATTAACATTTTTAATTGGGTAAGTTTGTTTAAAAGCTAGACTGCGTTCTTTTTGTGTCCTTGAGGGTGATCATACCCATACTTGGCCATATTAGCACCCATCTACTAGTTGTGTAAGTTCGGTACTTGTGTAGACTACATATAAAACTATTAAATCTGTTGAACCACACTCAAATTAGTTTTAATTGATATTTTAATACATGAATTCTTTGTGTTTAATCTGATGAATACATTGGAAAGTAATACTGTTGCATTGAGTATTTTGAAGCCATAGGGAATGTGTAAGGACTATGTGAGCGTGAGCCTTTGGGGGTGTTGGGGTGTAACATGAGTAATGAGGATAACAAGACTGGGA